CTGGCTTCCTCCCTAGCCTCAGAGGCCTGCCCATTTCTTTCTCCAACACATTCTGGACTGTGGTGCCAAGACTTCCCCCATAATCACTATCCCTTACATTAGTGGGAAGTTAAAATTCCTCCACTCAAAAGAAACCATTCTCTAACACAACGTCTTCTATCTTCTATGTCAACTTTGTAATACCACGACATCGTATCACCTATGTAATTTTATATTGCTATTGCACTTAACATGAAAATATATGTTTTTTGTATTTTTAAAGGCTCATGTACACTTCAATAATTACAAATGGACAAACCACTGATCGCTTAATCATTCTGGTTCTGTTCATCTCATACTGGTTATCTGGGGTTGCTAGCAATTTATTACTATAACAAATAATCCTGAAAATGCCTTTACACAAGCATCTCTGAATATATTTCAGGCTAATTCTCTGGGATGGATTTCAAGAAATTTAGAAATTAAAGAGAAAGCCCTAAATTAAAGAGCTTGATCACTTTTAGAATTCTATATATAACTGCCATATTACTTTTGAGAAACTCTATATGGGTTTACATTTCCACCATTAGAATTAAAGATTCTCTCTTTAAATCTCTTCTCACTGATTACAGAAAATATGGCTATTACAATTTTTATGGTAAGTTCAACTTTTTTTTCTAAAGGCTTAGTGTTTACTGTTTTTTAAATTGTTCACATCCTTTCCCATTTATCTATTAATCTTAATGTATTTGTCTTAATGAGCTCTTCAGACACTAAGGATAACCTTGTATTATACCTGATGCAAATAACATTCCAATTAACTTGTGATCTGGCTTATACTGTTTGAGGCAAGGAATTTATTAAAACTCTCATTAGGTAGCCTATTGTCATTTCATCCACTGCCTTTAACTTTTAAAAAGTCATGCTCCTCCCCAGTCCCCTCTTTGAATGCATTCCCCAGCCACATACAGATCACTGGTAAAGAGTGAAACCTAATGTTCAGAGGTGTTTTTTGTTTGTTTGTTTGTTTTTTGTTTTTTTTTTTTTGAGACGGAGTCTCGCTCTGTCGCCCAGGCTGGAGTGCAGTGGCGCAATCTCGGCTCACTGCAAGCTCCGCCTCCCGGGTTCACGCCATTCTCCTACCTCAGCCTCCCGAGTAGCTGGGACTACAGGCGCCCGCCACTGCGCCCGGCTAATTTTTTTCTATTTTTTAGTAGAGACGGGGTTTCACCATGGTCTCGATCTCCTGACCTTGTGATCCGCCCGCCTCAGCCTCCCAAAGTGCTGGGATTACAAGCGTGAGCCACCGCGCCTGGCGTTTTTTGTTTTTTTTTAGAGACACAGTCTTGTTCTGTAGTTCAGGCCAGAAGTGCAGTGGTACAATCATAGCTCACTGCAGCCTCAAACTCCAGGGGGCTCAAGCAATCCTCCCACCTCAGCCTCCCGAGTAGCTGAGACTACAGGCATTTGCCACCAAGCCCAGGTAATTTTGTTTTTTTGTAGAGACATGGTCTTGTTATGCTGCCCAGGCTGGTGTGAAACTCCTAGTCTCAAGCAATCCTCCCGACTAGGCCTCCCAAAGTGTTGGGATTACAGGTGTGAGCCATAATACCTGGACTGTTAAAGGCGTTTAAGCACAATCTTTGGTCAATCTTTGGCTGAATACTAAATTATGCTATCCAAAAGTGAATCCTAGAAAGACAGAATTAAAAATAAAAACAAGAATAAAAAAAACAAAAAGAGACAACAGTGACTATAGGGAGACAAACTACCAAAGTGCTCTAGGTGAGTCACTGAGCAAGAAACAGCCACAGCATATCCCAGGGGAGGTGGATTTCAAACATCCAGAGCTGCTAAAATAGGTGTAAGATGTCCAGTTTTCAATTTAAAAAATTATAGGACATGCAAGAAAGTGTGACCACACACACACACACACACGAAAAAAAGAAGCAGTCAATAGAAACTGTCTCTGGGGGGCACAGATAGTGGACTTAGGAGATAAAGGTTTCAAAGCAGCTATTATAAATATGTCCAAAGAACTAAAGGAAATTATGCTTAAAAAAATTAAAGGACAAGGTGAAGACAATGGCTCATATATTGTCTATATCTGACTAACTGCACAACAGGAGTCCCAGAAGGAGAGGAGAGAGAAATAGTTACTGAATGGCCCATAGTAACAGACAGATTACTAAGAGTTTTACTTCCCAGTGTCTTTTTGGTGTTCATCTTAACCATTATACAGTAGCAGGAAGACACATACCCATCCCATTCATACCTGCCTCATTGTCTCTTAATTTCAAAATGTTGGTACTTTCACATGGAATACTCTTCCCTCAACTCCATTATACTGATCCCAAGTTAAGACAAGTCGTTCATATAACTTTCCTTAACACCACTGGTCCACACTGGTCTTACCCTTTAGTAAGTTTTCAACTCTCGGTGGCGTTGAAACACCTTATAGTTTTCTGTGAAAACGAAACTACAAAAGGGGGTGTGGAAATGCCTGACACATTATCCATCATGTTTTGTTCTGTGTTGTATTCTGTTCTCTATTTTTATGTACCATTTATAAATATAAAATTAAGGAAAGCTGAAATTGATTCCTAGCTTAGTCAGTAACCAGCGTATGACCTTGGACAACGCATTTAGCTTCTGTTTTCTCTATTGTAAAATGAGAGTACTATATCAAAAGATGATTTTTTATGAATTCTATGCGTTTATTTCTATAACTGTAATTTTATCATGTTCTATTTACAAATGTAGCTTTATATAGACAACAATTTAGATGTAATTTTGAGGTCAAGGTGTTCTCCATCACTCTGTATGAAAGAGTTGGCTGATTCGAAGAAAAGAGCACTTACAATGCCCAGGCTATCCTCTCTGTGAAAGGACAGTTAGAGAAGGAAAATGAAAAAGGCACCGACTATGCTTCAATCTGAGAAGTATTACAGAACATATAATGCAAAGTAAAACCCACTAGGATTTCTAAAAAAGCATGGTTGCCTGGTTTTATAAAATGCCTAATGAAAGGAAGATTAATGAAGAAAGTAAAGAATGCCCGTGGCACCAATTTAAATGCTATTAACCAATTTCTCTAACACAATTATCTGGACCTGAACCATAACAGAAAGTAACACACCCTTTGGAACCTCACTGTGGATTGTGGCTGTGTTATTCACCACACGAAGCCTTCCCCAGGAAAACAATGTCTTATACAAGAATGCAAGAGGAAAGGGCAGCTCTAGGAGTTAAAACTCAAGTTTTCCTACAACCCATAAAACCCACCTACTGTCTTTGTAGGTATGTACACAAAATTACACATAAACTACATTACACATAAAAAGGAAATAAGTTAGTGGAGCCAAATCCCGGGAGCAAATGCCCAACAGGCCAAGGGACGAAGGCGATGCAGAGCACTAGGAGAGACGACAGAAAGTAGGTGTCCCGGCAACATGGGCCACATGACGCGCTAAAAGGAGTCTGATCTTCTCAAAGTCCACAAAGTTGAAATAGAAGGCAGAGTCCAAGTAGCCAAACGAAGATGAATGAAAAAAAAGGGAAGAAAGAGGGGAAGCAAAGAAAAGGGTTTCCAAGGCAGAAAAGGATCTGGAGTTGACCAAATACGAGGAAAAAGAAGTCAAAGACTGGCACTAAGGTAAGAGAAGTGGCAAGATGCGTGAAGAGACCTGTTCACAAGAAGGTGCAGAGATGTCAAATTACAAAAAAAAAAAAAAAGTAAAAATGGAGGCAACAGAAGACCGTCGTGTTCCTGTACCCAAATGCCAGCTCAGCGAGGGCAGAGGCACCCGCCTGCCATTCTGTTCACCATGCACCCTGGTGCCTTTAACAGAGCTACACAGAGCAGGCACCAAATAAACAGTTATTCATGAGCAGGTCCCCAGGCCGGTCTGTCCTGTAGTAAGATGCTGGGGCCAATGGAAGGTGGGCACTCAGGAGAGAGCTGAGAGTGCAAGCCCCACAGCACAGGATGGTGGCACAGGTCCACGTGGTGGAGCTGTTCAGACTCCATTTCACCACAACCTTTCACCGTTTCCCAACACAGGCGCAGAAAATCAAATGCTCACGATAAAATGACTGCTGCACAAAAACACCAGTCAACTGCTACTTCACACCAACAATTCAAAGGTCTCATGGGTTCATATTTATATCTCCTCACCAAGGAAATTAAAAAGACTGGGAGTAGGGAAAGAAATAACAAAACAAATGCACATTTTCCCCAGAATTCAAAACATACATATGTTTAGAGGGTTTACTTTGTTATCATATTGAGTAGTTTAAAATTTTAATAAATTCTTTAAAATAAATTATTTTCCATTTCTATAGAGCATGCAACAGCTACATAAGCTTAGGTACAAAGAAGGTTTAGACGATACAGATTTAGTACCATGAGACTATACATTTGATTTAATAGCATTAGACCATACAGATTTAATAGCATTAGACTATACAGATTTAGTATCACATACTGAATATATTAAGCAGCAAATTTTAGGATCCAGAAACACCTGTCTTTAACATGTATAGCGTTTAGACATGCTCCCCTAATTCTACGCCACGTGATATGTACACATCAATCCTGGGAAACACTATATTAAGAGAAAAAATAAATTAGAAGCCCTATGTCTAAAGTACTTACAGTCTGCTCTGAATACAAACAGAATGGCACTCAATGCATATAGAATTTTCAAATTACATTATACATCTTTTAAAATATCATTTTTGAAGACTGGCTATGGCATGGGGAAACAGCCATATTACTATGTTATGGGACAAGGGACGCTTCCATATACACGATATTAAAACAAAAACATACAATTACAAAAATACAGAGATTAGAAGGAAACAGACCAAAACCTTAAGGGTGGTTACATTTGTGTGGCAGATAAATGAACTTTATTTCCTTCTTCCTATTCTAGGTACTTCACCTACATTCTACATTGCTGAGTTTTACAGACAGCCAAAAAACCAGTTAGTTATAAAAACGTTCTGCAATTACTCACCACATTGTAATAGCTTTTGTTTATGGCGGTCGTATCAAATCCTTTGGGAGGGCTCTTCAGTGTTCCTGATTTGGGAGACACAGGCTTCTCTGAAATAAAACGTAGCATAGTTTTACTGATCAGTACTAGACGACAAAAGTTCCAGCCCCTCACAGAGGCCAAGGATACTCATCCAGCAGCCTCACCAAATTAACAAGCCAAACAGCAAGCCGAGGAAAAGGCCGTCCACAGTGACTCTCAGTGCCCCAGAAACCCAGTCCCTCAGGCTCGGCTCACCAAGGCCAATCACCGCACCCCATCCCCACCCTGTTCTCCCAGTTTCAAGCCGAAGGCGTCTAAGAGACTGCTCTACGAGTGGCAGCCAAAACCAAAGCAGTTTAGCTACAAGGACAATTCCATAGTGTGGTAAATATAAAGCATGACCCAGACACCCAAATAAAAGGTATTTTGGCAGATACGTAACAATATTAAAACTTCAGGGCTAAAAGTTAGGGATTCCGATCCCTCAGAATGGAAAAGTCTCTCTAAAGAAGCAGGATCTGGCTCAGAGCCTGAAATAACCATCGCTCACAGAAGACAAGGAGGAGAAAGAAAAGTCATCTCAAGCAGGGGCAAAAACAAGAAAAACCCACAGCATCTTCACGTCCACACCAGGCGAAACCATTAAGGCAGTCCTGATTCCAGCAAGGATTTCGATGTTTTAAAACAGCACTGCTTTCGCCCCACATCCACTCAACATGTATTTACTCTGCATAACAGGTGCTGAAGAAACACCCGCCAAACAAAAACCTGGCACCGTGCATGCCCGTCGTCAGCTCTCCGGGGTGGGTCTCTCTACCGACGGTTCTTCAGGAAGGGGTCTCTATCACCGGTTCTATGGACAGTGTGGGTGTATCTATGCCTGTGTCAGCTCTCCAGGGTGGGTCTGTCTACCAACGGTTCTTCAGGAAGGGGTCTCTATCACCGGTTCTATGGGCAGTGTGGGTGTATCTATGCCCATCGTCAGCTCTACGGGGTGGGTCTGTCTACCGACAGTCTACAGGAAGGGTCTCTATCACCGGTTCTATGGACAGTGTGGGTGTATCTATGCCCGTGTCAGCTCTCCGGGGTGGGTCTGTCTACCGATGGTTCTTCAGGAAGGGTCTCTATCACTGGTTCAATGGACAGTGTGGGTGTGTCTACTGCTGGTTGTGTGGGTGGGTCTGTCTCTCCACAGCTCTATGGGGGTGTGTATGTCTATTATCAGTTCTACGGACAGTGTCTGTGCCTTTACCATTAGTTCTACAGACAGTGCATGGTGTCTATCATCGGTTCTGTGGGGTGGGTTCCTCTGTCTCTCAATGGTTTTATGGGTATGTGTGTGTTTCTATTAATGATGAGATGGACAGTGTGTGTCTATCACAATTCTATGGGGTGGGTCTATCACTGGTTCTGTGTGTGTGTGTGTTTATCACAGTTCCATGGGGTAGATCTACCAACAGTTCTATGGGGTGGGCAGATAGGTCTAACACTGATTCTACATTCTGTACATCTAACATCTGTTCTACAGATTCTGTTTACCACTGGTTTTCCAGGGCTACAGGGGCGGTGTATCAAATTGGGGCTAGTGGGGACAAAGGAAAGGGAGAGGTTTTTTCCCACATTCTTCCCCCAAGAAAGTGTGATGAGCATTTTCTAGGGGACTTAGTTCCTACCAGTTCTCCCTCAAAGCTCATCTCCACTGCAAGAATCCTGCTGTGTGAACCCCTCACTGGGTGGGAACACACCTCTCTCCTCTGGTGTGTGAGCAGCACCTGTCTATAGTCCGTCCCTTCTGCTCTCCTCTCCTCCCATGTGTCCCGGGGTCTGAGGTAGCATATCCCAAAACAGTGCCTTCAACCCCAAACACTCTAAGGCTGAAGGTCCCTAACGTCAACTGCCTCCTCAGGAGCTGCACCATCTTCTAGCAACAGAAACCCAGAATGCCCCAAACCAACCTCATGCTCCTTAACCTTGGCTCCTCCTCCTGAGGAGCCGTTTACCTCAATCTTCCTTCAATGCCTCACAGAAGTTCCTAAATCTTCCCTCAATGCCTCACTGTTAAGTGTTTCCAGGTGGTTGAAAACAACAAAACAAGGTGCTGCTCCAAGTTGCAAGAATTCTCTCTGCCCACAGGATGGAAAACAAAACTTCACGGGGAACAAATCCCTTCTACACTGTAAGAGCTACAAGGAGGAAAAGCAATCTATTCTTGCTAGCACACTTTCCTACTCAATCTCTTTTCCACAGCTAAGAATTTAACAGTAGAAGAAAAAACTATGAAATGTTTTCATTTGAGGAAAAAAAACAACACTTTTTCATCTTTGAAATCTGCAATTTGGAGGCAGAACAGAAAATACCATTACAGGGGAGACCGTCCACACCTAAATCACAGAATCACAGCCCCTGCGATCATAAGTTACATGTTAGCATGCATGCCGGTGAAGTGAGCTTCCTAACAGTGACCCTGAATCTGCTTTAAATCATATTAAAAGTAATGATTTTGCCAGCTTTGTTATTTTAAACTTAAGACATACCTCACAACTCAACACCACAGTTAATAAAACTCAATTAATTTACTGTAAGAACTATAAGAAAAAAAGTTTTCAAAAGAAAAAGTTTCAGGTTACTAACATTATATAAAAATAAAAAAACAGGCAGAGGAAACCCAGACAAATCAGATTAGGTCCATGCAGGTTGCCTTTCCTCCCTTAGAAAAAAAGAGCTCCCAATTCTGCTGGCTGCAGAATGGGAGGTCTCAAGATCAATTCCCCAAAACACCCTGTGGTTAGTTTTCAACAAGAGGGCACCGCTAAGGTGTGCCACCCACAACGTGCCCTTGCTTCCAATTAGGAAGCATAATTTCCACAAACGCCCAAGGTGGGTCTGTCAGGAGACCCTGCAGGGGAGACAGGAAGCCCCTGGCTGCCAGACCCCAGCCAGGCCACCCCTGACTTCCAATGCAAGGCTCTTTGCTCGCCCCACCACTGTCCAGGTTCCTGGGATGGTCACGCCAGAGGAAACGTGCCATCAACAGGAGGGGCACGGGGCAGCAGGGGCACAGGTAACTCCCGGGCAGCCTATGAAGCCTGCTAGTAGCTTCTACCAAAAAAACGCATTGAAATTAATCTAAGAGAGGCTAAATTACGGCCATTCAAACAGCCAGAAAAGCACACAGTCAGGAAATAGATTAGAACATACTCAACTGCCCTACTATCCTAAGAAAAGCAGCATTTTTGGCCCATCTGGTAGCTAAAAATTAATAAAATTCACTGGTTTTGAGGTGTGGGGAACCAAGAGATTACAGCTTAGTGCTAGCTTTCCAGGGGCTGACTGTGGCAGCAAGTCTTCCCTTTCTTACAATATACTCGAAAAATGCTGAAAACAAGAAAATCTAAATATAGACATGTAAAAGAGAAGGAGGGGATGATGTGCCAAAAGCAAAGAGGAAACCCTCTCACTAGGAGAGGGGAGACAGACCTGCCTCCAGGCCCCAGCAGCTGGGGTTACACCCAATGCAGGAAGAAAACAGACCTGCTCCAACCCAGGCAAATAAAACTGGATCCCTCAGTAACCCGCAGAGCCGATGCAAAGATGTCTGGAAGCTTCTGTGCGCTGGTCTAGAGAAACAGCAAGGAAGTGTGCAGGCTGCTCAGAGATGGGAGCACAGCCTAGAGGAAACCAAAACCTGAGCCCGCACCTGCTGAGCAGGACCACTCCAACCGCCGCTCTCCTCCTGCAGGACTACCAGGACCTGCCTGCGACAAAAAAGTCTCTGGGAACCCCTAAGAAGCAAATGTTATTCCTCTCTGTAGAAATATTTCTACCACCCAGGGTACACAGGAACCCACCATCAGGGATGCACCCACCATGCCAGGAGCTGCCAGGAGGGTGTGAGCAGATGTGGCATATAAAGGGACCAGGTTCCCCAGAGCAGAAATAACAGGAAAATCAAGACCTAATGTCATCTGTTGTTTAAAATGACAGGAGAGAGACACAATTGGGACCAAATCCAAGGAATAAAAAAGGCACTATGAGGATTTAAAACATCTGAAGCAGCAGCAAAACTTCTAGAAATAAATACGGTCACTAAAATGGAAATCTCCATAAACAGGTTAGTATCACCGTGAGGAGGGAATTAATGAACTGACAAGCAGAGGAGTGGACTACAACACAGCACAGGGAAACAAACACATACGCAAAGGAGATTAAAACTGGGGGCAAAATAAGACATCTAGTAAGATAATCAGGAGAAAAATCAGGGAGTGAGCACAAAGTAGTCCTTGAGAAGATCCTTTCCAGAACTGAAGAGCTCTGGATTCCTTGGGCTGAGGAAGTACAGCCAACCCCGAGCAAAACCAGAGTCCACCAAGACACATGGGAACGCCGCACAACCGGGCGAGGGCCAGGTCCGGAGGGCCAGGTGCGGTGGCCTCCCCCACCCTGAGGCAGCTCCACCATCACGGGGCTGGGAATTTCTGCCTCTTTTGAGAACACACTTCTGTGAGTCCTCACTCGCCTCTCCCACTTGACTGAAAGCCACCCAGCTGCTTCCCTCGGTTTCAGTGGTTACGCTTTCATTTGCGATGTGTTGCTGATCCAGCAAAGTCCAGAGATAATCATCACCACTGGCTTCAACCACCAGAGCAGACATGGCCCCGAAAACTCAGAATTCCCACGTCCTCTTCCAACCTTCGGCGCTGGGGCGCTGTGCGTGGTCTGTTGGCTGTTACTCACGCACTCAGAGTTCACAGAGTCACTGCCTGTGTGCATCTGCCTGTGCTCAGCAGTGTCTGCCTGCCAGTTTCCTGAACCACACGCACCCTCCTGTCCGGTGACGTCCTCCTAGTTGTTCAAGGGATAATCTGCTAATACTCTCGATCTTTATCTGAAAATGTTATAATTGTGCCATTGCTTTTTCCCAAACTTTAAGACAGAAACTTAAAAACATACATAAACATACAGAGAATAACCACGTACACTCTTAACGTTAGCAGTCCTCAGCATCGAGCTTGCCTCGTCCGCTCCCGCCTTGTTCTCTGCTAGAAGCACCATCAGCAAGTCTCAGAGA